AAGCGTGTATAAAAATCGCGACAATAAAAAAAAGCACGTACTCGACCCAACTGCAAGAGAAAAAGGCTACGTGAACCAGTGTGTTTTTTGTATTATAAGATTACAGATTTATTTTAATGTAGTAATTAAAGAAACAAAAAAAAAAGGCTAAAACGCTGATGACTGCGTCACGAATATCGCAGCCTGGACATCATTCTTCAGGTGGAATGATATTAATGTTCAAGAAGAAGTGTTTTACATATATAGATACAAACACTTCGAGCACAGATAGCCCGTTGCAGCTCGAGTTGCAATGGAAAAATTGTACTGTCCGACATGATTTTCCTAGTAACTTTGTGAGCTGTTTGCTTTTGTTAGTTGAGAAATCATTTTAAAAACAATGTTTACATACATCTTAGAGTTGGAGTGTATATCTGAATAAAAGTTCAGTCTTTTAGAAAACTGAAGTGAAGTTATATTTGACAGAGAGCAACGTAAATAAATGAGTCAAAATCAGGTTTACGGAGCTTACATTATTATATTCCTACTGGCTTCTAATAGCGACAACAAATTGTACCATCAAAGGATATGATAATCCTAAAATGGCATTTCATTTTCCTTACAGGTATGGTACATCATTGTATGAGCCTGTAAATGTCGCATCAACGGACTGCCCAAGCTCCTTTCGCACTCCACTGAAGCATCAAGCTAAACGGTATGCAAACCGGCATTTCAAGCTTTCCTCTTCCCCTATTATTAAGTGACAAAGTTATTCTTAATGTAAATAAAAACTTAATAAATAATGAAGAGCAGTAATGAGGCAGCTCCCGAATATTTTTTGCGGCTACTACCTTGGAGGATGATGGCTTTTGTCAACCTGGTTACAACCTCGTAAATGTAGACGGAGAGGTGTACACTAGCTAGCTGTACGAATACCAATAGAACTAGTAATAGTAGTTAAATAAGCGTATCTTGAATATACCGAAGAACCGCCATACTTTGTCTCAATGAAACAGAGTCTTCACCCGTACCGAAATATATCGAAAACAGAGTGACGATTTCTTCGTCTATCCAAATATAACCTGTGTCATGGCAAGGCACAAATTAAAGAAGCAGCTTCCTCGTGTTTGTTAGTTGGATGTCAATTCCCCTTGCCGGCCGCTGTTAGCAGAGACAAAAACACACGCGCAGACGCCACAAAAATCGATGATACTTGATAGCGCCAACGGCGGTCGCCGTGGTTGTGAATTCTCTCAGTAGCAGCAGTGGCGTCGTCGACAGCGACATGCAGGATGACCACTGCCACCTCTATTGCTTGCGTCTCCCTCTCCCATTAGCACGAGGTCCTCCTCGCCGAACTAGTCCAGGTGCCGACATATCATTGTGTAGGTGCTGTTCGCCCCTGTTTAGCAGGCGTTAGACGTTAGCAAGAGCGGATCCCCGCTGTCGTTGAGCCGCCAGCCGTCGACAACGAGGACGACGTCGTTTGCCTATCGGCAGGTTCGTGGACTGTCACAATGGTTGGGCTGAACTGGCGCCCAATCTAGCACGCTGCGAAACTCCTGAACGAATGGGTTGACCCCTGGGGTGCTTGTGACCCTCCAGCGAATGACCACGGCAAAAGTTTCGAAGGCCACATGCCTCCGACCGTCGTCATATCGGAGCAGACGTAAGGCAGAATATAGTGGTCGCGTCGTTGGTTAGCACCTCAGCTTGACTGCTGCAACCGCTTTGGCACTACCGACGGGAACTGATGGCAGCAGGCTGGCTAGCTTTCTGCCTCTCTCGAGCGCGCGTCGATGGCATCGATGGTTGAGGATTATCTTTGGCAATAAGCTTGATGGCGCTTAAATCGCCCTTGCTGATCCTAGCTTTGGTGGTGCTGAACAGCGGCTAATGGCACCCATATGCTCTCTAACCCTAGCTCAATTCAGCTCGTCTCAGGTTAGATGGACAGGGGCTAGATGTTAAGCAGGCGGTTGAGCCTGTTAGGATAGGTGCGGGGGGTCTTGATAGGCACCGACTTGATGGGTGCAGTTTGGGGCAGCGCATACCCAAGCGTCGGGGCCATTCGGCTGGGCCTGCCCGTTCGAAAGTTCACATGCAGGCAGCCGTCAGTCCGTCCGCATGTGGCTGACCTGAGCAGCAGGCACCACCGCTGCCGCCACTGAAGGCATCAGCAGCACCAGTCCCTCAATCCATCCCATTTCCGTGGTCCCACTTGCTTCTTCTTCTACAGTACTATACCTGAAAACGGCGCCGCACGGAAACACAGACTCAGCCAGAGATCCGGAGGGACGACACGGCCAGGGAGGCTAGCGGCAGGCAAGCTCTCTCTAATCGATCTCGTCGTTCGTCGTTCTATAATGTATTCTCATCAATACATCAGCAGCCCAGTCGCCGCTCCTACCACCGCCGTCGACCGACCGCGAGTTGTGTCGCTCCCCCTGTTCTCGGCCAGCGTGCCGCCATTCCCCCACGTAGCCACGTATCACCGACGAGCCGCAGCAGCGGCAGCGCCAGGACCGGCAGGACACGCATGATCTGTGTACTATCGAAGCAGGCCTAGCCGCACTGTGTCTGCAGAAGCAGGAAAGGCCACAATCACTCGTCTCCGTGCGGGGAAAGCCTAAGTAGCGGGGCCAAGCATAATCAGTCGCGTACGCAGCAGCAGCGACCAAGCAGGTAGTGTCTGCTCGCGGTATTCAGGGTAGGAAAACGTCGAGAAACGGTCTGGGGAGGGGATGCTGTCGAAGAAGCGTTGGAGATGGCTGGGGGGATGAAGACTTCTCCCTGTTCTCCTCAACACTTGCCAGAAGATCTGGGGATGCAGGGCAGCTAACGTAGCTAGTCGAGCAAGAGCTGTAGCAGCTCTTCTTTCCTCTATAAAAGTTACCGTTACGTACGAATCTATAGGGAACGCCAAATCCGTCATCTGTTCCATTTAGTCTAGAATGGCCCGCGTAACGTCTAGGTCATTCATGTTGTCTTCGAATACCAGCCAAAGCATTCACGGTGCTAACTTGATCATTCCGCCCATATTTACCGTAATCGTAATGCACGAGGCCGACTAGCACCAGCAGCAGTTATTCCCGCAGCTTGCAGAAGGATTTCTGCGCGACTGGGATGCTGATTCTCACTGGTCGGCCTGGTGGGTGCGGGCACGCAGGCAGGCGCCAGCGCCGCCGGTTGGGTTTGAGACCCGCTATCACACGCTTTCTCATAACCCTCTCCCATGCCGCGCCTCTCCTCTTGCGCGGAGAAAGAACGCCGCGCGACCAGGCAACTAGCAAGGAAGCAGCAACCAGGCACGCAGCAAGCCTCACAGTCAGCAGGCAATCTCCGATTTGACCCTCTCCACCGCTCCGAGTGCACTTTTCATTCGGAGTACGGATCTCGCTCGCTGCCTCCTGTGCCTGTCTGTTCTATCTCTCAGACATTTTCCTTCTCTCTCAGGTGCTGCTGTCACTACCGCCACTTCAATCTCTCTAAGGGTCTGTGCTCGTTGTTCGCGCACGTTGCGCGTTGTAAGCTATCGTATGAGTGTGTGTGTATCTGTCGCTCACTCGCATTGCTTTGCCACTCTTGTGCGCTCGCGGTAGGCTATAAAGTGTATACATGGCCTGCTGCCTAGCAAGTTGCTGCTGGTGATGGTGGCACTGGCAACGATCGAGTCGTGGTCGGGCAGCATGTGTATACGGTCTGTTGGTTGGTGAGTCTGTGTACCCGAATCCGCTCCCGCTGGGGGGTTGCGAGAGGCGGGGCCTTTGGACGAATTATTCCCACTTGGGAAAGGATGTGTTTAAATTGGGAGAGGGCCACAGCACGCTCGTCCCTATTGCACGCCTGCCTTTCGGCTGCACCAGCGGCGGCGGCGGCGGTAGCTGTCGCGGCCGGCGTAGTATGAGCACGGCGGACTCGAGCTTCTTAGTCGGTAGCCTCGGTGGGTCGACGAAAAAAAGCGAGAGAAACACCGCTGCCACCAAGCAGCTCTAGGCAGAGACTGCAAGCGGCGGCGGCAGCAGCAGCAGCAGCAGCAAGAGGCTGAGCTGAATGCGCGGGCCAAAAAATAATAATAATAATAATAACCAAACCGCTGCGCGCCGGCAGCCGCGCCTACGGCTGAACGGCAGCGGCTGCTGCTGCTACTGCTGTTGGATGGCAGTGCAGCCAGTTGTGTCGGATAGTAATGGCTGCAGCCCTAAGCAAACTGCGCCCAGAGGCAAGCGGCAGCAGAGAGTAAACGCAGCAGTGCTTGTAACATTAGTACTACTAGTACTAGTAGCAGTCATAGTGGTGGCAGACACGCAGAGTCGAGTGAGTCGCTGCCGGGTGAAGCGCTGGAGCTGGAATGCGCCTGGCTGACTGCTGAGAGAGGCTGGAGCTGGTCGGCTCGAACAGCAGCGAGTCTCACTCAGTCAGAGCGCTGCCGGCCACCGAGCACCCCACACCCCGGTAGGTCGTCGTGTCGTCGCGCCGCGCGCCGACCACATCACATTGGCATTTGCCATACATAGAAGAACCTGGCTCAGAGCTTAGAGCCTGCAGAAAACCAAGGAGAGCGCATATAATAGCACAAAACAGAAGTAGAAGCAGCTGTACACTGTGCCCCAGCAGTGACAGCTTTGCCCTGTGAATAGTTCCTATTGCCGCTGTTGTTATATGGCGGCGGCGACGACGACGACAACAACAACAACAACAACAACGAGGACGGACATAGCATTGCAGTGCGACTGCAACAACGGCACCGGTGACGGTGATGGTGGTGGCAGGCAACTTGAGCAGTAATAGCGGCGACAGGATTCGAGAACGGCGAACGCCGTTGGCAGCAGCGAATGCAGACCGAGGGAGTGAGTGAATGAAAGAACGAGAGAAACAGAGAGAGGGAGAGAGAGAAAGAGAGAGGGGAGAAAGACAGAGAGAGAGGGAAGGACGGAGCCCCCTGGTCTGCCCGCGTGTCAGCCCCTCCCAGTGGTAAAAGGCAGCAGCCACTGGTGCAGCCGTTACGCTTGAGCCGCAACACCACCCTGGTGCCTCTGTTGCCCCCACCCAATTTCCCCGCTGCTAGTGCAAGGGGCGGCCCTCCGCCCAAGGCACCAAGCAGAGGCAGTGGCAGAGGCTAGACGCCAGCTAGATGCCACTAGGAGCAGCGGAAGAAGCAGCAGCGGAAAGCAAGACAAGCCGCCGCCAGTCAAACTGCTGCTGCTGCTGTACTACCACATCCACTCACAGGGGCACACGAACATTCAAGCACACCCATACAGGCAACACATCCACATCACACGCACAACGAGTTGCCTCTTAGTTCGGTGCCGCCCGCTTTCTCTCACGCGCGGCGGCATCATACAACAGTCTCGAGACGGACGCACCCCGCGACGGAGCTCAGGCCCCTCGCTATAACGCAGGGCATAGCACTAAAGGATACACAAGCAGTCCCATCACGACCAGCGGCGGCGGTAGTCCGTCCCGGCTAGTCCTCTCGTTGGTTATAATCATGAACTTGTTCTTCTGCAGCAACCATCAGCTGCCCGCTTCGATGTGTATGAGCTGCCGTCATTTGCCTCGGATGAGAAGTAACAAAAGAATTGTTTATTTGTTTTGACAAAGACCCAAGTTAACCTACTGTGCCTATTGATATCTATCCACCACTGGACTACTTCTACAGGTAATTGTCGTGTGCTTGGTGAACGTTAATGGGTGTTGCCTTATAACAGCCGTGTGATGTGACGACGACTTTTGGCCTTCTGTAAGTGGTGCACTTGCGCCGTGCAGTCTAGATGTAATTCAACAAAATAGAATTCCCACCTATTTCCCACCTCAGTCGTCCAATGGGCTCAAGATTAACACAACGAAATACCACAACTGACAAGCAACGAAGTGCGTATTTGTGTGTGTGTATGTGTGGGTGTATTTATAGCATCGGACCCCCGACATCTCTAAAGAGTCTGAGATAGCAGATCCTTCGTGCAACAGCACCTCCCGTCCTCAGATGACTTCGAGCATCATCAAGCACCTTGTAAATAACGAAGATAAACAGGAAGAAGAAGAAGAAGTCGAAAATCACAAGACCAATCATTGCACACATTATGGCCCACCACTGACTTAAATGTTCGACGGCAAAAACAAAGTTGGAGAAGTTTTTTTTTTTTTTTTTTAAATCTATGCGTTTCAACCGAGCACCGGCGTCATCATCGCCGTGAAAGCGTGACTAAATAGACAAACGAGTCGTTTGTTGTGCGGCTGTGTGCGTGAAAATGCGTGTTGAGTTTAATAAAGTGTAAGTGAGTGGAGTAACGACGGAAACAACAAGAAAGCAGTTAGTGTTCACCATCTTCGATTTGAGAGTCAAGCCACCCATATTGGTAAGCGTGCGACGGCGATAGGACCTCGACACATATTTGATTGACCCCTTCCTAACCCGTCCTTACTTTGTTGTTCGGTTTTTATGGAGGGGGCCTTCGCACGCTCTTCAGTTCGTCCTTCTTTTTGTCTCTCTGTGGATTAAGTTGCCGTCCTAATTGTCGCAGCTGTTACTGCTCTCTCTCTCTGTGACCCATCATCATTCATTATCCTCGTTCTGCTACTTTATATATTCACTGTGTTTTCGCTTCTCAACTTCAGCGCCTTCGGACAGCTGAAAATTTCTGTCTCTAATCGCCAAAGATTTAAAAGTGGTAACGACTAGCTTCGCCGAACTCGCCGGCTGCCGATTCATTCATGTACAGGCGGCTATATCTGTAGGATCAAACAGTAAACAAACAAAAAAAAAAAAGCATCTTCATCTGACGCTCTATTTGATCAATCAACGTGTACTTTATTGCCTGGTAGCTCGGGCCCTTCGTACCTCGTGCTTAACCTGTCATCGATCAGGTGGAAACTAGTCAAACTTTTACTGTAATTGCCTTACCAACTACAAAAAGGTAGGGCTGACTGGGCAGCTAGCCCAGCGCAGGGTTAACCTGCCGCGAAAATTTTTAGCCTAAGCAAGGATGTCGATTAGGAGGATAGAGAGAAAAAAAAAGTCGGATAAACCGTTAAGCCAGAAAGTGTTCATTGTGTCAATGATTGGGTGTGATTTTGTTGTTTCAACGATTTATATTCACTGTCGCCGTCCTCGTGGTTTAACTCGTCTCTCAGTTATTGATTTTGTTGTTAGCGTCGGTGATTTCTATCGATACTTTATGGCGTATCAGACATAAAGTAATCAACCGACCAACTACTAAACTGTCCTCACCTTTTTAAGGCTATGTCAGCTTGGTAGAGTCGATGATGAGACCTGTATACGCTGACCTGAAGTAAAGCAAGTCGAAGGAAGCGATTAGCCTACACAGATAAAAAACGTTCCTACGAAAATAAATAAAGCAACCCAAACGAAGGTCGGAAATAAACAAAACCTCTCTCTCTCTCTCTCTCTATATATATATCTAT